CTTTTACATTTAATAATTTAAGTTTCGCAAATGTAAATTTTTGTTCAACTTATTATTTAGTCAAGTGATCATCAATCAGATGATTTTTTGGTATTACAAAACAATTTTGAGTAACAAAAATTGTGAAAATCAATCAATAACTCTTTTTAATGTAGAGTAGACAAATCAGCCCATATGATCAGTCTATTATGTTGCAAATTTAGTTGAACAATGGGAGTCAACAATTGATGAATCTTATGAAGAAGATGGAGAATATGATGATAATCTTTAAGCTACTATAGACTAGTTGATAAAAGTTGGTGGTTGGAATAATATCAAAGAAACATGGAAGATAAAGGTTAGTAATTCATTAAAATCCAAACATTATATCATTCTTTTAAAAAATAAAGCACACTTATATTTATATTTTATAATTATCTGAAAAGAAATAGTTTGTAGACATTATTTTTAAGTTATGTTGAATACTTAAGAAGCCAAATTTTATATTAGGCTTATTTCATCTAGATAGTATCAAGAAAATAAAGATGCATCAAATAAACCATTTATTGTTACTGATAAGTTCAATAACCCATCTGCAACTATAAAAAGTGATATTATTAACAATTATTTATATGCCATTGATAAAGAAAAGTAAAACTTTCTTGAACAGCAAATGAACATTCTTGACAAAAAAATAATATATGGTAATCTTCATGAAACATACAAGAAAGCATTACAAAAAGCTTTACAAAAGAAATTCTGATCATTACAACTAATTGAAATTCTTGAAAATTTTACTATTAATGAAAATAATAGTAAAGATGAAGTTGAATCAAATAATGAATCTGAAAAAGAATTAGATGATATAGGTGATAAAAGTAATGAAGAGGTGTTTCAATTACAAAATCCAAAAATTAGGCGAGATAAAGGAAGGCCAGCTAGTACAAGAAAGTATAAAGCATCACATGAAAAAGAAGGGAATAGTAAAACAAAGTAACAATAGCGTTGTAAAAAATGTGAGCAATTGGAACATTATTAAAAGAATTGCAATGCATAGGTTAAATTTAATAATTAGTTTAGATAATTGATATGTACATTGATTGATTATTTTAGTAAATAAAGTAGTAAGTACAGTTGACCCCCTATATAATCACCCCTTATATAATCACATCATATAAAATTTCCCTTTATAAGCACACCATATTTTGGCCCAATGTACTAATAAATATATTAGAAAAACCTCTTCTATAGTCACAACATATGACTTTTTTTATAATCACATCCTTTTTTTCAGTTCTGAGAGGTGTGACTATAAAGGAGGTTGATTGTATTGATTTTGGTTTTACTGCTTTTACGGTTTATTTTTTCACGATTTTGTAATTTTAATTGTAGATGACACCAGAATTTTGAATAGTAAAAGCATCAAAAAGTTAATGGTATACGTGTTTTAAACATATTTTTATTTCATATTTATAATCATCAATGTCACCAAAAATCCGAATCACTATATCATTAAAAAAAAAAGTTTTTCCAGTGCAGGAATCAAACTGGCATTTCAGAGTAAAAAAAACTACAATTATTCAGTGTTTTACCAATTGAACTAATTGGATATATTTTTTAACGTTAAGATTACTTATCTTTGTTTTATTGAAGAATTGGGTATTTTTATTATTATCGCATGGTAACGTTAAGATTATTTTTATTATATATAAGTTATGTGATCAATATGATCACATGATAAGTGGCGATGCATCGCCATGGCAATAAATTAACTCTATTATTTTTATTAATTTGATATTATTCTTTTAAAATTACTTTATTTTTTTTTAATTAGCCCAAAAAAAAATTTTTAATTTTTTTAATTTTTTATTTAATTTGAATTTTTTATATTTTTTTTATTTTTATACCCTTTAATTTCAAAGTTTTGTTATTTCCAAATATTGCTTTATTTAATTTGAATTTTTTATATTTTTTTTTATTTTTATACCCTTTAATTTCAAAGTCTAAATATTGCTTTATATTAAAATTACAGAAAAACATGTCATTATCAAATTAGATTTAATTTTATTTAATTTTTTAAAGTAAAAAATAATATTTTTAATTTCAAAAGTTTGGCCCCTTATACCTTATACCCCGCGTATGTTTATAACAATTGCGTTCATATTATATTATCTGTTGAATTATATATATATATATATATATATATTTTCAGTAAAACTTGTTAAACCTTGCGCTTTAGTGATTCAGATTTTCAAATTGGTAAAAAAAAAAATCAGGGAAAGTCGATCAACCCTTTCGAAATAAACTTTATAAACAAATTTTTTTTTTAAAAAAAAAACATATTTGATACTGTAAGTAAAAAAAAAAAACAATATTATATACAGTAGTAGGATTAAAATTTTTTTTATTAATTATATTTTCATATATTTCAGTAAAAACTTAATTTAAATTAATTATGTTATTAAAAAGAAAAGAATTATCCCGGCTAACTAAAAATTCTCATAAACTAACGAAAAAAATAATTTATTGAGTATATCGGTAATATATACGTAATGAAAAAGTAACGAAAAAAAATGAATGATAAAATTTTACATTGTAACGAATGAGTATTTACTAATGGCGTGTGTGTATGGTTAATAAATATTATAAACAAGAAAAAAAAAAAAATTCTATTGTATGTGCAAGAAAGAAAAATGTATGTGAATAAATTCTTAAATTATTTCGTTCGTAAAAAAAAAAAAAATGCCAATTTTTTTTGCCAATTCTAAGTTTATACAAATGTGAAAATAAACATAGGTAATCATATTAAATCTATATATACATAAAATAAAGTTTTAACAAAATTATGCCAATTCCTGTATTGTCATTTCTCATATTCTTTTAGCATATTTCATATTCCTCAAAACTTCTAAAACTACCGATATCCATCATTGTAACGTTATTTGATTCAAATTGATCATAATCGGTATCGTATATTGAAGTATCAATATCGGTAGGTGAAGTTACTCTTATTTTTTCTAATAAATTAATCGATGATTCGTCGTTTTGATTATCAAAATATAATGCGTTAATTTCTTTTTCTTTTTCCGAAAATGAAGATGATGAAGACGAAGATGAAGAAGAAAATGGAGATGACATTCTCGATCTTGAACGTGAAGAAGTCGGAGTAGTTGTGGGGATGTTATTGAAAAAATTAAAAGTGGTTTCAATCGGTGTGGTTGAACTGCTATAATTAAAAGATATACGGCTATTATCATCATCATATATTAAAGACGATTCATTTTCTTCTAAAATAACACAATCATTGTTATTTTCGGAAGTAAATGAATTGACATTGCTATCATTTATGTCCGTGAAAACATACCTTTGCGATTGCTGTAAGGTAGGAGAGATAGGTGATGAACTTGGTGAGGTGGTAAAAATTTCTTGAGTGATGGGTTTAAGTGACTGATTTGAACGAGAATGCGATGATAAAGAATGTGATTTAAAGGTATTTAGATTCATAGAAGATGTGGAACTAGGGAGTGATTGTGTTCGTTGAGGTTGTAAATAACTTGCTGAAGAAGAAACTATTGAAGGAGTTTGATTGGCTGATGATGTAGGTGTAATGTGATCGTATGAAGAATTATCACTAAATATGTCCCAAATTTGTCCACTTGAAGTATTCATCTGAGATTGTTGCATTTGCGCAGCAAATGGATCCGTGAATAATGATTCGGCAGATGTAATATTTACGGGAACGAATTGTTGATTCCCTCCATTATCTCCTTGAATATAAGGACTTGATTGTTGAATTTGATTTGAAGAAGGTTCATTTCTCTTTTGTGGTACAATTGATTGAACTGAATTGGTTGATTTCATGTTATTTACACTTTCAATCGAGCAAGGTTCAGAAGTTATTTTAATCTGAGGAAGTGAGGAAGAATTTCCTAAACCAAGATTACTTAAACCAAAAGAACTTAAGGTTAAATCCAACCCATCAGGATTAACGATTTCTCCACTTGGTGTGATACCAAAAATTTCTTCATGACTAAATTTATCTTGATATTTTATCAAAGTACTTTCAAGTAAAGAAGTTGTTTTTTGTACCAATTCTTTCATTATATTATTTTGTCTATAGAATTGACAAATTTTGACGGTTTTAATTACATTTTTATATGAATTAATCGCTAAACCTCTTTGTGGAGATGTTATATTTATCGAATGAACTTTTGCTGCTTTGCAAAGACAATAAAACATTGCTGGGAAAGATACGCAAGAATGAACATCCAATGCTTCGACTAATAAAATAAAATATAAAATTTTATATTTAGTATAATTTTTATTTTACACGTATAAAAAAAAAAAAAAAAGTAAAAGTTAAAAAAAATTGATGATTTACCTCCGATATTAGTTATTTTATTCGCCGCAGTATTACAAATATTCATACTCTTTATAAAAGTTCTACTAGTTCTAAAATTTCGATCTCCTCTTCTTAATTTATCATACTCGGCAACGTATGGATAATGCAATAATAAATATAAAGTTTGATGAAGCATATGTAAAGATGCGACATGACCAGGTAAATTATGTGGGGAAGGAATATTTTGTGATGAAGGAGCATAATTTAAATATGGAGGTAATTCTCTAGACCATTCAGATAATAAAGATTCAAAAATATCTATAGTAGCGTGATGATTCCATGAAGCTTGTAATCCAGCACAAGAAACTGTTTGTAGATGTTCCAAAATTTGTCCGGTAAGTTTCGCAATACGAATATAACTAATAAAAATATTTATTTGTTGTTTATAATTAGAACTATTAGAATAAGAAGTAGAACTTGAGCTACCCTCATTATTTTGAAAATTTATATCATCTTGATCAATTTCATCTGGAGAAGGAAGATCAATATCACACATTTTATCATTAATAACTAATGGATCCCCAGTGTTAAGTGAATTTAATCTATCAAGAATGAAACAGCCCCACCAAACTAGTTTTTTAGTTTGACGATCTTTTGCACCTTGATATGCTGCGCCATTTTTACGATTTAATTCAATAGTTTGAGCCATTTTAATCGCAATGGAAGAATATGTTTGGGAACGATATGAAGAAGGTTTGCCTTGATCAACCATATAAAGTAATATTAACGCTTGAATTGTTGATAATCTAGGAACGTCAATAAAATAATCCAACAATCCTGAAAAAAAAAAAAATTTTTATTTTAGATAAATTGTAATTTTTGATTGTGACCATTATTATTATTATTATTTTAACTTACTTCTCGCTCGGTCATAAAAAAATTGAGAACTATATTCGCTATTCTGTTTTACAGTGGGTGGAAACATTGCACCAACAGCCATAATAACTTGGAGTAATAATTTTGAAGGTTGATTTTCATCATTCACATTTTTCAACAAGCGATAGAAATTTCCATGATTAATAATAGGAAGATATGGATGTACATATTTAAAATATCTTTCGAATAATGATGATGATATATCTTCAGGAATTGGCTTTAAATTAACAGGTAAATTTGGCAATGGAGGGTCGACATAATCGGATAATGCGTTATCCGAATTTTGATTATCAAGCATTAGGTAAGATAATGTATTACTTTGTAAAGTATTTGATGCATTTGGATGAATCAAATTATTTAAAAGAATTTCATCATCATCATTAGTTAATTCATCAGAGTAACCAGGATAATTTTGTGACATATCAGAAAATTCTAAATGAATAGTAATTATAAAGATATTATAAAATATTAAAACATTGTTTTTTTTTTTAAAAAAAAATAAAATATTAATTTATGAAGAAATATAATAATTCACGTTTTATGTCTTTTGAAAGATTGGAAATATCAGGAATGGTATCTTTATTTACGAGGTTAACCAAAAGAGATTCAATTGTATGTAGTCTATCTTCAATTAAAGCAACGAATCCTTTAGGAGGACCCCTAGGTCGTTTCGCAGATGCATCACTGAATGTGCATTGATAATCTAAAAGAAATAAGATACAAAAATTAAAAATCCATTGTATATTTATTATTTATATATTGAATAATTTTTTACTTACTTCCACGTTGGCAATTTGCGCAAGGTGATTCACCATCACATTTGACCTTTCGCCTACGACAAGTATCACATGCCGTCGTTATTTTTACTCTTTTATTTTCTTGAGAGTCACAGTTTGAGTCGTCAACAATCATATCGTCTAATATGATCAAACTCATATTCTTTAATAGAATTTTCTGGAATTTACTTTTGAATTATAATTGGAAGAAATTTGATTTAATAAAGAAGAAAGAAATTTGGGTTAAACGAATGAGAATAAAAGGAAAATATTTACTTGTGAGATGAATTACGTAATTAGGAATGGATTATTAAGTAAAAGGTTTTTCTTATGTAAGATATAAATTGTGTTTTTGAATGTTAATAATGAGAGGAAATGATCAAATATATCAATTCCTAAGAAAAAATATATATTTAAATTTTTTTTTTTATATTTATATAAAGTATCTCTGTAATTGAAAATTACTGGTCACAAGATACTTTCATTATTATTTATAAAATGATTCTATTTAAATTTATATTTAAATTGTTAAGAAGAGAGAGGGAGAGTACTATTTACTAAACTTTTTAACAGTTGAATTTATTATTCCCCGATCTCCTAATAATCATTTTTTTGGGACTGTGTTTCTAACAGCCCTTTATATATGTTTTTATAAATATATATTATTCTGTGATCGACAGTATACTTAATATGTATATATACAGTAAACAATATAAAAAAAAAATTTTTATAATAAGGCTAATAAATAAATAAATAAATAATCGATATCCGATATAAAAAATTTTTTTTTTCATTTAAAGGACAAGATATTATAAATCTTTTTATGAAACGAGATCCCTTTAATATAATAACAAATATTTATAATAATTAATTAAAATGTATTAAAAAAATATATATATATATCAAATACAGGTACTTTGACTTTCACTCAGTTGTATTTTCTTTAATTTAGAAAAAAGAGAAAAAGTTTCGTAATGAATATTTATTAATGAATATTTATTAATAAAAAGTTTGAATCTTTTTATACTTGAAAATCTTTTCCTGTGAAATGGTTCTTTTTTTTTTCAATTTGTGTTCTGTATAACTTTTTGTGAGAAAACGCGGGTACCTTAGTAAACTATATCAAGTTAGATATTAGAGTTTATATTATTATTATAATAAGTATAATAAGTATTTCTATGATACATATACTTATGATACTGACGTATATAATATTCTGTAATAGTTTATATTGATATTTGTTTTGTTTTTTTTTGCATTTATTTGTTTTATTTACTCATTTTCTTTTTAAAATAAACTGTAACTTAAGAAGTAGGATTCGAACTTAAAATGGATGAATTTGTTACGCGACCATTCAAATTTTGGCGCATGGCGTAAATAAACCCGATTGATGACAGGTCCTTTGAGAATTATATAATTTATATGATTGCGTTAACATGAGTTATCAATATATTAATATGGTAATATTATTATTATTTAAAATTTTTAAAATTTTAAATTACAATTGAAATTTATTTATATTTGTAAGATCTTTCGGATAAAGCTTATTAAAATATTAGTAATGAAAGGTTTTTTAAATATTTTAATATATTTAATATATGCTTTCTCCGATTTTTTTCAAAAAAAAAAAAAAGTCTATCTTTACGGATTTGATTCTAATTCGATCCCGAATATATTTAGTAACATAAATAGCTAAAATAAGTAATATCGTAACATCTCGTGATATCGTGCCTTATTTATTGTTTTATTGTTTCCCGTTGATCTTTAATTTTAAGATTTCGGATACGAGGGAAAGATGGAAGAGTCCATAAAAAATATATAAGAATATAAGAATATAAATATATTTCATATAATTTAAGAAACCTTTATGGAAACTCCGAAAAATCTAACCAACATCTTCTATCTATCTATCTATCTATCTATCTATCTATTAATAAGCTAATATCTTTTATATTATTATATTATTAAAAAATGAATATTCATATTAAATTTAATCTTGAACGTTTGTATCACGGTAATAAAATGGTATGATCATTTATTTATGAAACAAAAAAAAAAAAAAAAATTTTAAATAAATATTAAAATTCAAAAAGGTTTTGTAAAAAAAGTTTAGATTTTAGTTTCGGAAAAATTAATGACTTGATTATATAAATGCCACATGGCATGTGGCCAATTAGATTTCACTCAAAGATGTATGTATTTCATTAGAATTTTGGAATTTGGAATTTTGAAACTTACATATAACACGAAAGAACACGAAAAGATAATAATAATTATTTATGAACGAGTAAAATGAATAATTATAAACGATTCGTACTCTGTAACATATATTTTCGCGTTCTCGGAATTTCTAGATTAAAAATTGGCTAAATTTAGTTATCGATTTATAGGTAACTCAGCTACCCGAGCATAATAATCTTTTTAGTTAAAAATTTAATATTAATTAAAGTTATTAATATTTTATAAATGCAAGAATTTGAAATTGAGTTAATTAAAAAAATTGTTATATTATTGTGTTAAGGAGTAAATTAATTTGTACGATAGAAATGTTGGAAATGTCACCTAAATGATTTTATTATCACTATATCAATAAGTCGTGTAATTTGTAGATCTTTTTTTTCTTTGTTTAAAATCTGAATTTTTAATTCACGTGTCATACCTTATTACAGCCCACCTTATCTTTTTAAAACCAATAAAATTTGCAGCTTTCTATCACACGATGTAACACGACAGGTATGTCATTTTACGGTCTCTCCCGCCATAAATTATGTAGTGATTGTCCAGATTAAAATCATTGTTTTCTTTGTCTACAAAATATTATTTACTAATCCTTTGACAAACGAATTTCCTTTAAGAATTACTCCCTCCCTTTTAGGTAGTTTAATTGAGCGGGGCCATTTGTTGTGTAACATTTTTTAACGCCCACGCGATAATTTTGCGCCATTATTAAATTAAATTTATTATTTATCGTATGACATTAAGATGCAAACTATCCCTGATCATCAAAAATTTTATTTTGCTTTAACTTTTTTTGATTGATTCATTACGCCATTTTATCCCTCAAATTCTTTCGTAAACACAAAAATTCCCCCTACCCAATAAATTAAATTAAATCTTTTAAAAAGGAAAATTACGACAGCACGCGACAACACGATTTTAAATTCTAATGTTTTCATTTGTTCGTACAACTTTACTTAGGTTAAAAAAGGGAATCACATGCCGTTATAATGAACCTTTTTCAAATGAGGCTTATCGATTTTCACCACGAGACCAAACATCTTAATCCATTCTTTGGCGTTATGATGACACAAAATAGAATATCTCTACATTTCTCAGAATACTCTAATCAACAACGGTCATAATATTTCCCGCGCCCGGGCCTACACTATGTTTGACATAAAAGATGTCAAATTTTTATGGTTTTTTTTTTTCTTTTCTTTCTTTCTTTCTTTTTGCGCAGTAGATTATCATCACAAGTTATTTAATAAAATCATGCGAGATTTTCATTAATCACGACATTTTCGTTGTAAAGAAAGAGAAGAAGGCACGAGTGATATTCCAGCAAAAAAGTTTTTCTTAATAATCATCATTTCCCCATATTTTTTATTGACGTTCCCTCCTTAAATTGTAAAATATGCATGATTACATATATGATTAACATTTATATTTATGTAATTACAAATTCGTTGGCTGAAAATAAATTTTAGCCTCACGAGGTTTTCCTAATATAGATGGTTCATTTAATTAATTGGTTAACTACTTTATTACAAATGAATAAAAATTATAAACTTTGGCGTAATGTTTTTGTTACATATCCACGTTTGTGTGATCCGAAACAGTCCGAGGAAATTTCGACTCAGTCAATAGTACATTCTATCACGTGACTTCACCTGGAAACATCCGTTATTACCGTTATTATGTGTTCCTACTTTTGTGTATTACGGAAAAATAAATAGATTTCTTTTATTATTCGGAGTTATTCAATCAATTCCGTTGACTTATTAAAATTTATCATTATTTTCTCGGTTCAAAAGGATAATAAATATTGGTATTCATATATTCAATGGAACTGAAAATGGCAATAAACCGTAAAAAACAATAAATTTACCTATTTAAAATAGTTATATTCTCAAGGATATACTGTATATACGATTTTTAATACTTGAAATTATTATTTGTCATCCAATTTATCTAGTGCTTTTATTTTGCTTTTTTATTTATTTATTGAATATATAATGAATATTTTATTTAAAAAATTACCTTCTATATGATTATTATTTAAATTCTTTTCTTTCCTAATCATACTAACTTTTATTAATTTACCAAAAATTTTTGCTTTTTGATTTCAATATATATATTTCTTTTTTAATATTTTTAATTTTACCGTTGCTAAACTTAACCGTGATTACAATCACCATCCCGGTTGTTTCACCACCTTTTTTAATTTTCATTAGAGATTATGATTATAAGGTCATTTGTCACGTGATTTATATTATTTACGATTTGTAAGACGAAGTGAAACAATTATTTATATCAATATAGCATTCATTAATAAATTTTATTTCATTAATTATTATGATATTATTACAATGAAATTTTTACAAAAATATACATTATCTGTTATCATTAGATAATGACTTAATTTCCCATATTATCATTATTGCTATCTATGAATAAGATTGACTTTAACTGCAGGCTGCAGGCGGCAGGCCACACTTGTTTCTGCATTTCGTTTACTAATTCGATTTATATTCATTATATTCACAAGTTCTTTTATTTCCACTTGTATTTTTCATTCTTTAAGTGAATACTTTATATTTATTTTCAGTATTTGGTTTATAATTATCTGAATAAATTAATTATCATCTAAAAAGTAATATAATCAATCTCCTTGATATTTAGCATAACCTTTTAATAATACATATTTATCAAAAAAATCTATTAACTTTCTTTTATAAATTAAATTCTTTACTAATTTGTAATATTTGTTCTTTATTAACTTTTATATAATATTTAAAATTAGTGATTTTCATTTTCTAAACTATTTTTATAATTATAATCAGAATAATTATAAAGAAAATCTGAAAAAAAATATATGTGTATAAATAAAGCTTTGGCATATTAATTTTATAAAATTCAGATAAAATTTGAAATAAATTCTGATAAAAATTTGGAATAAATTCAGATAAAATTCAAATAATATAATAATTATATATATATATATATATATATACAATAATAAAATAGAATAAAAATAATATTTATTTTTCTTACATAAAATAGTATTGCTGCCCAAAACTTATTTTGAACACTTCATCAGCCTTTGCTTTTTCTTAAACATATCTAAGTTTAGTACAAAGTTAGCAATTTTCAAATAATTAGCTTCTAAAATCAAACAATGTAAAAGTGTTACCCATATGACCATATCACATGCATTTTAATATTGCAATAAGTTTTAGCAGATACTTAAAATTACTTGGCTAATATTTTGCAAAATTAATTTGAATTATATTTTTTTACCCTGCAGATTGATAGATCAAAAAGAAATTGAAGTATTAAGTAATTATTAATTAATCTTTTGAAATTTAGTAATAAAAAATAGGATG